TACAAAAATAAAGAATTTGAACTGATGAAATTATCCATCCAGTTTCCAAATTGATTTGACTTCGTTTACGTAACTGGCCCAGAAACGATTAAAATCTCTCGAACGCTAATTTCATCATCAACCTTAGCTCAAACAACAAAACAAACTGAGGTCTTTTCTGAATACAAACTTAGCCACATGACAAAGGTCAACAATAATGACGGAGGAGCATTTCAGCTTATCGTCATGCAGTGATAAAGGAGACTAGCCTAACAACCAAGGTCGGAGTAGTATTCGACAGATCAACCAGCAGCTAGATGGGACTCCACTTAACTTAGCCTCTAATATACGCTTATGAATATCCACTCGGTGCGCGAATTTTGGGAACGGATATGTACGTCGACGACTCATTGATTGGTTTTCCACTCAGTAAGAGGCCCTGGATGCTCAATCTCAAATAATCCAATGTCTACAATAGGCAGGTCTGGATATCAGACAATAAGCATCCAATGCGCCTGCTGCAGAAGACATCAATAAACATCTTCAGCTCGACAATAAAAATACATTAAAGGCATTGGGAATGTCTTGGCACTCTCAGTCCGGCCAAATCAATTCAAAGGTTCACTGGTGTCATCAATCTGCTGGCCAATGGTATCATTCAAAAGCTATGGGCTACGAAAGTGGAATACGATGAATCTGTATCAGCCAGCATCCACACTGCATGGACTGGGTTTTGTAGAAAACTTTTCAAAAGCAACAATTCACAGTTTTATTGGCATGTTGTAATTTCGGAGTCAGCTTTCATACAATTACACGATTTTTGGGACGCAAGTGTGAGAGGATAAAAACTATCACAATTACACGAGTTGAACTGTCAGGGTCCACAAATCCTAGTTCAACTGTCTCAAACCGCCAAGGAAGTCATCACGATCACAGATTCTAAGGTAGTGTTTCAGACAGACTTCATAGTGGCAGTCCATTGGATCGCAGCATCGTCACATCAATTGAAAACATGCCAAAATTCAACAATGATCTTCCCGAATAGAATGGAAACACACTAGAGTAGTAAGGTGTTTCATAACGCAAGAGGCTAACCAGCTGTCGTTCAATCAGACAATGGAACCAACTTTATCAGCGCAAACAATTAGCTAAAACAGATAGTAGTGGAGTTGCAAAACCCAAGGAACAATCACAAGATTATGTCGTAGTTACCACTAGGAGGAATCGACTAACGATTCTTACGCGCACAATCTCCACGGTTCGGAGGGATCTGGGAGGCGGCCGTCAAATCTTTCAAACATCATCTGAGGAAAGTAATGGAAACTCAACTCATGATGAAAATTCAAGGCATTTTTAGTTGTCGACAATTGTCTCCAAACTCAACAGACTCTAATGACTTGACAGCATTAACACCGGGACATCTTTTAATTGGTGAAGAACCTGAACACACTCTCCGAAAAATCCCGTTAAGCTGGCTTTCTCTATAGCAACACATCCAGTAAATGCGCCACTATTTTCGGAGGCAATGACACAAAGAACATGATATTTCCATTGGCGTCTTGGGCGTGTCGTAGACATTCACTCTGGCAGAGACGATACCATTCGACTGATCTGAGGCAAGACTGGTTCAGGAAGTGATCAAGTAAATAAGTTGTCCCACTCGTACTCTTCACCTGGCGCCAGCAAACGAGCATAGATGAGGGCAAAGTTGGACAACAATGCACCCCGAGTTCTCAGCCGTTTATCAGCTTACTTTTCAACTGGGGGAGAGTTTCCGTCTAAAACAAATTCTATTTGCATTAATGTTCTGATTATTTATTTATAATTTATTACCGCGAGGGAACAGAAAAATTCCAAAGATAACAGCGATTTTGGAGAACGAAAGAAGAGGGAGGACACGAAAAGGGAGTAACAAAAATAATTTTAAGCTATTTTCCATCCTCCTAATCCGGCAATTCCAGACCCCTTTGGCGAACTAGACTTGAGTTCGGTTTAGAGTTCTGGTTCAGGCATTTTTCGTTAGCTTCAAATTTGCGAGTTGCTGATTCGTCTAATAAAGAAAATTAGTTGACGCTTAGCATCCGTTTTCGGTCCCGATCTATCTGGTTGCTTTTTTTTCGTATCGGCGAGCAGGAAATAGGGAGACAGGGCGAAGGTGATGAACATTCTCGGTTGTTTTGAAAATGTCACGTTACACCGTATATGAGAGTCTTTCGGAGATGCCTACAGTGGGTTAACTCTACTCCCCTTACTCCCAGATGTTGAGAATTTCCTAAATATCCGCATTTCTGCTGCTCCATTTTGTTGGTTTCACGCCAGGATTACATAACCTTAGAGTTGACATGACCAAACAAAATACCCCGTTTTGTTATTTCGTAATATTTCTCTGGGCCCCAACGTCAGTTGAGTTTGAGTGACCAGTTTCGGAGGCTCTCTGTGGCCCATTTGTCATCCTAGAACTATTGGATGCAGTCAGTATTGAGTTGGAGAGCTGGTTACGTATTCTGAGTCTTTTCGGTATGAATTCTTCAACGTAACTCTCAGCAACTTGATCGCGTTTACCACCCACCCGTCTGTCTTCATGATTATCAAACTAGCACCGGAGATTGTCGGAGTGCATGGCCGGTGTCCTCTTCTGGGCTTGGAAGATTCAGAAAAGTCGTGATTTCCTTCGGCATTAGTTAGGTTGTTAGGCTTCGCGAACGGGCGGTCTAGCCTCCCTACCGCCCCCAAATTCCGTTTCGAATTATTCTAACTCCGCCTAGGTTGGGTTACGGATTAAATTTCCAGTCCGACTTTTTAAACCGCTTTAAGAAATTCGAAACTCGTTGCTCCCGGATTTAATCGCTCGTGGAGAAGGCGATTCGTTAGTACTGCAATTATATCACGGCTAAGGCTGGGCAGTCCCACAGAATATGCAGACTGTCCTCCAATTCCACTGTACAGAATCTGCACAGAACGTTCGCACCCATGCCGATGATTTTGCAATGGGCCTTGAATCTGCCATGTTCTATGAGGAGCCTGTTCATTGTGCTCAGGCTTTTCCTCTTCATGGTGCGCAACTGTTTAGCTCGCCTGCAGTTTGGGCCGAACATGGTTGCCCTGGCTTTCCTGCAGCTTCTCGTATTATTCCAGTGTCTGAGATGTTTCCGCAGATCTTGTTTCTGATGGTTTTATTGCC